AGTGGGCTGGTTTCAGTCATTATGCAAATGTACGGTTTATAAGATTGGGGAAACCTGCAGTCAGCTGAGACTGAAGAAGTCACCTGGATGAGTGACGAAACATTTCTCTCACTGAAAACGCTACATCCAGATGAATAGAATCAACTTGTGGAGCTTTAGCTTTCTGCTCATTTCTGCAGATTGGTCAGTTTAAGGATTTTTAACAGGACACTTTTCAGTGGCACGGCTGAGATCTGTGTCAAGGGTAAACCCTGATTGATCCTGCCTTTATCAGTCCTGCAAACTGATCGCTTTCTGAGGACTGGCCGTACTAAAAACGTGAATAAAGAGAAATAAATGAATAAAAACTGAAGTGTTAAAGTGTTTGAAACTAACAAATTTTGTGCTACTTCCAAACTTTTGGGCCATATCTGTTTAACGGTAGAGTTAACAGGTTGAAAGGGGATATAACACTTCATTTTTTTCTTTTTTTGTGCCGCATATTTCTTGTAGGACACTCTCTCGCTTTTATAATGTCAAAAATATCCAACACTGGCTCAATATGTGAGACTGTGAGGAAGTGGGGGTGGTGGTTGTAACCCTTTGACTGTTTATATCAAGAAAACTTTCCACGACATCCTGTTAAAGGCCGTGTGATATGAATAAATAAAAGTGTTAAGATTTCTCATCCCAACTAATAAAATGACGAAAAGCCTGAAAGTTCTTTGGACGATAAACATAGTAAGCACCACATGTGCAGCAGGAGATACCCCACTCCTCCACCCTAAACAGAAACCCCCCTGCTCCTCTGATTAGTCAAAGGCGGAAATGAAATTGAGACTCTATTTGCCTAATTTATGTCCCCACTTTTGATTTCAGTGTGATGATCTGCTTTGCATTTCACACTTCTGAATGTACAGAAATGGGCTGCAGTTTATCCGGACAAACAGCAGGGGGCACTAGCAAGAGCACTTCTCAATGAGAAGGAGCAATTGGAGCTAAATATGTAAAATACGTTTTTACACCTGCTTCTAGAAATAAACGATCTTACTTTAGTAAATACAGCAATGATAATAATATAAAGCAATGCTTCTGTAGTTTCTCTAATTAGGACGCTGACGTTGCGCAAAAACCCTTAGTATTCTGCATCTCCAAAAGTTGATTCTGTTCATCTGGATGTAGCGTTTTCAGTGGGAGAAACAATGGGCTGGACCTCCCAGCCCTTTGTTTCTTCAGTGGGCTGGTTTCAGTCATTATGCAAATGTACTGTTTATAAGATTGGGGAAACCTGCAGTCAGCTGAGACTGAAGAAGTCACCCGGATGAGTGAAGAAACATTTCTCTCACTGAAAACGCTACATCCAGATGAACAGAATCAACTTGTGGAGCTTTAGCTTTCTGCTCATTTCTGCTGATTGGTCAGTTTAAGGATTTTTAACAGGACACTTGCTTGATGTCCTGTCTAGTCCCAGAGTAAAAAAAGTGACATATAAGTGAAGGCCACACTGAAAACATGTTTATAGTCTTGGACTAAAGGCAGTATCAAGTGGCAATGCCAAAATAAACTTCATAACTTAGC